CGAAAACGCACCCCCACTTTTCGCCTCGTGAGTATAAAAAAAATTCAGATACTTACGATGCCCGAGGACAATTTATTCCTACATCTTTTTTGTAGGCGTTTATTTCACCACTCCCCTGGAATTGTCCTGATTGCGTACATGCCCTCATGTCTGAGCCTTCGCTTCGGATATGCTGTGCAGATGACCTAATAAGATGATTTAAGGTCTACGAAAATAATCGATAAATTTTGCGAGGATTAGGGAGGAAACTATGGAAAAATCTTGCCTATCATGCCCACATTTTTTGTCCTTATTAAGGAAATGCACCGCCCGCGATATTAAAATTAGAATTCGAGCCGTCTAGAATTTTCTCTACATCATATGTATCCCTGTTAGTTTTTTATTTTAAAAAATGACCTAGTACGTTGAATGGACCGCCTGTTTGGTGTGAGGGTGAAAGAGAATAAACTAAAAGTATGGGGATACAATGCGAAGTCTGGTGACAGGTGAGGGGAGAAGGGGAAATTATGTTCCACCCCGTGACTCCAGGAAGATTTGGTGAATGAATGCGCCAGTGATGTGACAGTGGGCCCAGTGGGCCTACCCGGCCCGGCCCACTGTTCAAGGCGACCCGCTGCGGCCGGGCCTGCTCCTACTCGTCGCCGGTCAACCTCGAAGGATGAGGACATGGAGATGGAGAGAGAGAGAGAGAGAGAGAGAGAGAGGGAGAGAGAGCGTGTGGAAGCTTCGCGCAGTGTTTGCCTGCCAGACACCGGGGGAGGCTCCCCGCAGTTCTAGAGATTTCCGGTGGCAACATCTAGGGCGACAAAGATTTCCTTCGGGCTTCCCTTCTTTGCTCTCTCTCCCTCGCTCTCGCCCTGCTGAATGGAGAGATACAGGTTCAGAGAGTTGCCCGTGTATCGGATAAAGGGTTGCTCGCTGTTATCCCCTCTCTAACTGGATACTCGTGTTCCCTCTTCTTTCACTCTCTCTCCTTCTCTGTCTCTACCTCTATCTGTGTGGAATGAACGGCCTAGTTGGGTCCGTGTTTAGTACCGCGACCATTGGACGGGTGATGTCCCTGGATCCTCTTAATGTCCTACAGTAGATCTCTGCCTCAGTCTCTCTCTCCCTCACTCTATCTCTCTCAGAGTCGCATTCTCTCTCTAGATAGACAGCCTGCAGAAACCCAGGTTCAGACCCCGAAGGAGAAGCCCCCCCGAGACGGTGATACGACCCTCGAGGCAGATTTCCTCCCCCACTCCCTCTCTCTCTCTCTCTCTCTCTCTCTGGCTACTTTCTCTCCCCTCCCGTGCGATCTTCATCTCCGCCCACCTGCAACACGTACGACTTTGACTTCTTCTTCTTCTTCCCCCTCTCTTCCTACGTTAAGCTGCCCACTTTCCTCCTATCGCCGTTCACACGGAGGAGGACGAGGTGACAAAGAGAGAATGGGGAGGGGGGGGGGGGCACGTAGTGGAGTTGGTGGCCTGCGGGCCCAATGAGGTGTCGACATTGTGAGGCCGTGGGAGTAGCGGGGGCCAGGCATCTGGGATACGATCAAAGTAAGAGGAGGACGATCTGGGAATCTCCTCCGGTGAGGACACGGATCCCCTCCATCTCTTACCCCGTCTCTCTCTCTCTCTCTCTCGCTGTATATATATATATTAATTTTATGATGGTGGGTTGGAATTGAATTTCTTTTAATCTAATCGGTCAAATTTTCGTCAAAGATATCTCAAATATATTTTAGAGAGAAAGGCTGTGCTGGTGGTCCACCCAGTCAAACTTACCTCAATGACGCATTATCTTTCCTCCCTCTCTCTCTCTCTCTCTCTCTCTCTCTCTCTCCCTCCCTCTCTCTCTACATACGCATACGCTGATGTCCCGTTTTGCTCGGTCAAACTTACCTTCAACTAGGCATCATCTCTCCCTTTCCCTCTCTCTCTCTCTCTCGCTATGTACCTCTACTTGCATGTTTTACTAGGTCAAAAACTTCATCGGAGTACGGGGTACGGAGTCTCTCTCTCATAGTTGTCGTCTTCTTCTACTTCTTCTCTCTCTATCTCTCGATTCCTACGGATGATGTAAGCTAGAGAGTATTACCAATATGTTTTACTTGGTCAATTTTACACGTATCTCTCTCCCCATTTTTCCATAACTGCCGCGTCAGATGCTGACCAGGGCCTTGGTCAAAGCGAGCACGATCCCGTTGCGAGGGACTAACACCTGCCCACATGGGGCTTGTGTTAAATATGCTTTGTTTTCACACACAATGTGACAAAATATGGTGGCATTCGCCCTCCGCGGCCAGTCAACTCGGCCCCTACTACCGCGCAGATCACGTGAGGGGCATTTTCGTCATGTAGCTTGAGAGAATCTTCCACGTTGTCTGTGGGCCCAAGGACGTTGGATTTGTTCGAACCCCCAGCCGTCTACATCCGACCCTTCCTTTTCCTCCTCTCCCAATCTGACGGTCTCCGCCGGTCGGTGGGCTTCTCGCGGCGTAGTGGGCCTTACTAATACCCTAACCGGACGGGTTTTCCTCGTGGTGGCGGGCCCCACCAGGAGCTATGACCCCGCGGAAGAGGACAAGGGCACGGTCAACGCAAAGGAAAAATCCCAAAAGGTCTCATATTATCGTGCCCGTTGTACGTACGCCTCACGTGTACACTGATACATACTAGGCTGTCCTATCGGATGGTCCCAGTCAACATTTTTACAATTTCTTCGTTTTGACTTAGAATCAGGAATGAAATATTTCGGTGTCAGAAGAGCGTCTTGTCCGATAAGAAACCAAGTCAAACTTATTTCCGCAAGATAAACTAATATTGCAAAAAACTCCCCGTCGAATTATATTAATTACTTTAAACCCATTAATTTTTACGCCTAACCGTTACCAGTTCCCTCGTACTAATACTATGGGTAGCAATGCGTTCGCCTTATTCATATGTGACGTCATAATAATTATTTTTTTATGCTATGTTTGACCCCACATTAATCTATTCGGATGCCCATTCGAGCTTGTCTCGCTCGGAATTAGGTAGAGTAGCTGGACCCATTCGCCCCGTATGAAAAAAGTCAGCGATCTGGGAAGAACAGTCATTACAACCGATGTTACTATAATTACAAATATAAATATGCTAATTTAAATTTAATTTAAATTTAATTTAAATTTAATTTAAATTTAATTTAAATGTATTTTTTATTATATGAAATTAATAAAAATTAGGGTGAAATCTCGAAAATCGTATTTCTTAAATTCGTGGGTAATTGAGCTCGTTTAAATAATTTTTATTTTTTTAAAATTAGAGATATACTCTTTTTGTTTTATCGACGTTGTTCTGAGATTGTTGATGAGCAAGATGGTAAACGTTACCGCTGAAAAGTTGCTCGCCGCGAATCTGACGGCTGGAGATCGATATGATTGACGTGTCGGAGTCTCGTCAAGAAGCCCTTAGGGCTTGCGGCCGTGGCTGTGATGAGTAGAGAGAGAGAGAGAGAGAGAGAGAGAGTAACGCCGCAGAATGTCCGGCCTCTCGTAGGCCGCTTCCCAGTCGTCTACGGTGTTTATTAGAGGAAGATCTTGATACGACAAGAGGAGGTGGTGAACTGTAGAGAGAGAGAGAGAGAGAGAGAGAGAGAGAGCGGGAGAAGACTAGGATGAGAGAGAGAGAAGGCGAGGACGAGAGAGTGAGAGAGAGAAGAAGCCTCTAATGAGAGTGAGAAAGATAAGACGACGACGAGAGAGGGGAGAAGACTCAAATGAGAGTGAGAAAGATAAGACGACGACGAGAGAGGGGAGAAGACTCAAATGAGAGTGAGAAAGATAAGACGACGACGAGAGAGGGGAGAAGACTCAAATGAGAGTGAGAAAGATAAGACGACGACGAGGGAGAGAGAGAGAAGAGAGAGAGAGACGATGAGAGAGTGAGAAAGATAAGGCGAGGACGAGAGAGCGAGAAACAGGACGTGGAAGAGAGAGAGAAAACGAACCCAGTGAAAAAACATGATAATAAGAGAGCGAGCGAGCGAGAGAGAGAGAGAGAGATGAAGACGCAGTCTGCTGCGGAGGTAAGTCGTAGGCGTGCGGTCTCACTCTTTGACTGCCTTTTTGTTCCGAACGTTTCCTCGGTCAAAAAGAAGAATTGACTAGATTACGTCACCCTCCCGAAAAACAAACTTGCTTTATTTTTCCAACGCAACTAGATGTCCCTTCGGACCTCGCTTCTTATCACCACTTCTCCCCTCCCATTGGTCCAATTTCGAAATTTGTCGTATTCTACTCTTAAGCTGCTCCCTCCTCTCATGCTAATCAGTCGGCGCGTATGAACCCACACGTACTCGACCTTCCGAAAAAGCGCCGCCGACTCTTGTGCCGTGAACCAGGGGCCCGCACGTGCCTTTTCGGCCAGCTCCCGGGCCCAAGCTTCCGCCGACGTGCACCCATCCGTACGCTCAAGCAAATGTCTGACGTCCGTTCCTCATCCTACGGATAAAACTCCCTTGTCTCGAGCTCGAAGCGACCTACGCGTCATCGTACGTATTAATAAATTGTGGGTATGTTGGTACTTTTATAGGCGAAATGGCGACGCGCCGATCTTTTTAAAAAATGCGGCCGAGTCGGAGCCGTCACGTGCGAACGGCCATGCGCCGAGTGGCGCCGCAAACCGGCCACGTGGCCACAAGGCTGTTCACATAGCTCTTACTGCGTCAAAGTCGAGCCGCAAACTCACCCCCCTGGTATGAAAGCGTCCGCCGGACGATTGCACCGGTCGTCCGTACTCGCTGACCGGCTCCTTCCCCCGGACCACCATCCCCCCCCCCCCCATCCTCTCTCTCTCTCTCTTTCTCTAACTATCTCTCTCCCCATACCGCGTCCACTATCTCTTTCTGTCTACCCATCTCCGGGGCCCTTCCCCAACCCGGGTTTTCTCTGTCTTCCTCGCGCCTACATACACCGCAGATCTGAAGTAGAGAGAGAAGTAGAGAGAGAGAGAGAGAGAGCAGATGAGGTGAAGATGGCGAAGGCGGAAGAAGGAAGGAAAGCCGGGATGGAGAACACGGCTATGGTCTTTGGGATCTCTGAGGACGAGGACATGAAGAACGCTTCCTCGCTCACCGGCTTCCTCGAGCTCTTAGGCCAACACGACTTCTCCTCCCCCCTATGGGAGCTCCCGCTGGCGTCATCTCTCCCTCAGAGGTCTCTCCCATCAATCGCTCTCCCGGCGGCGCCGCTGGAGTCTGCGGAGACAGCCAACTTTCCGGCGACGCCCAACTCTTGTTCCGTCTCCTCCTCCTCCGCTGAGGCGGTGAACGACGCTGATCACGCAAGGTCGGCCGCCACCACGGCAGACGCCGGCGAGGAGGTCAACGAGCTTGAGGAGAAGCCCATGTCGGCGCCGACGGCGAAGCCGAAGTGCGTAGCGCCTCCTCTCTCCTGAGTATTCGCAGAAGTAATTATGTCCGTGCGGCATCGATCAGCTCTTCTCTTACCGAAAGTGGTTCCTTTCTTGTTCTTACAGATCGGCGGGGAAGGGCGGCGGCGGGGGGAAGAAGGCGGGGCAGAAGCGGCAAAGAGAGCCGAGGTTCGCCTTCGTGACCAAGAGCGAGGTCGACCACCTCGAGGACGGCTACCGGTGGCGCAAGTACGGCCAGAAGGCCGTCAAGAACAGCCCCTATCCGAGGTATTTTTAGTGTCCATCAGCTCGAGATCAGAAGGCCAACAATTTACGGTCGTTTTGGTGTCAAGATCTTCAATTGATCTTCTGATTCTCTCCGAATATCAGAAGCAATCTGTGAGTGGAGGAGGCTCATATGTCTGTAATGATGCAGGAGCTACTACCGTTGCACCAGTTCCATGTGCGGAGTGAAGAAGAGGGTGGAGAGATCGTCGGAGGATCCGACGGTGGTGGTGACCACCTACGAGGGTCAACACACCCACGCCTGCCCCGTCGGCCCCCGCGGTGGCGGCGGCGTGTCCGCCGGATGGCAAGGCCACAGTTACCATTCCGGCGTCGCCGGTGGCAGTGTGGTGGCGCCGTCGTCTCTGGCGTCGCTCTCCGACATATCTGCCTTTTCCCTGAGGGTCTTGCAGGGGCAGCAGCAGTCGGCAGAACTGTCCTTCTTCAACGGTGGCCTCCCCCCGCCTCCGCATCTCTTGGACGGGATCGTCGGCGGCGGATCGGGAGACTCTCGCCATGGTGTCTACGGGGTAAGGCAGCAGTTCTCGAACCAGACGGCGGTGGTCAGCGGTAGCAGCGATATCTCCATCAGAGACTACGGCCTGCTTCAGGACTTGGTCCCTCACGACTACGTGAGGAAAGAGCAGTAGCATAATAATACATCTGCTCTCTCTCTCTCTCTCTCTCTCTCTCCCCCCCCTTCTGGTACGCTCTTTTCCTTGGGATTTTCCGAGTTTTTGTTAGATGTTGGGGAGGATGATATTATTTACTGACCAATGGGTATGTACATCAAAGAAGAGACCCTGTTTATCTATGTACTTCAATCTGCTGCTCCATGTAAAGGTTCTGCATTTCCTGCATTCTTGTTTCTCAGGAGACATTGTAGAGGGAAAGAAAGGAATTTAGGGTTCCACATGGGACCTTGTGGGCGAGAAGAGCTGCTGGCCGTTGATGTCATTTCAAGGTGGTGCAACTCAAGTAATTGGGGACGGTGAACGGTTTCCTGTTTTCTGATACCTCTCTCGCTTCCCCCCCCTTCTTTCTCTCTCTCTCTCTCGCTCTCACTCTGTGCATGAGAGTCACTACTCACCAGCAGCCATTAAGGCGAGAGGAGCTCTCGAAAGCTGCCGCGGAGTGGGCAGGCCAGGATGGGCCGGTGACGAGAGAGGAAAACCCTAACCCTGCTACGTGGTGGCGGATGGGCATGAGAGAAGGTAGAGAGAGAGAGAGAGAGAGAGAGAGAGAGAGAGAGAGAGAGAGAGAGAGAGTAGATAGCAATGGGAGAGATGAAATTGCGGAGGCCGTCTCCTTCCTTTTTCCCTTCGTTATTCGCGTTTTTTTGTTGTCCTGCTGCATTTCAGACTGACGTTGACGTGAACTCCTGTTTGATCGGTCTCTGCTATCCCTATTTTGATCCCTTTCTCCTCCAAATAAGATCTTCAGCGGTTGGGCTCGATAAGGGAATTGGTGGGTTATAGGTCTTTTGATTCCATGGTGCAAGCCATGGATAGATGATGGAAGAGTTTTTTCTCTCCTCCTCTCCCTCTCTCCCTCTCTCCCTCCTTTTTCACTCTCTCTCTCTCTCTCTCTCTCTCTCTCTCTCTCTCTTTCTCTCGTTGTCTTTCTTGTTACCGGTTTGAACAGGTTCTTGCTCACTGGTTTCTGGACAGCTTCTTGTTCTTGAACAGCTTCTGACACAGTAAATAAACTGAACTCTTCGGAAGAACCTATGGGACAACTTCTCTCCGGTCAGAGCCATTTAACCCTACATTGCCCATGCCTTTCTCTCTCTCCTCGGTTGTATACGAACCTATCTCTTCTCACTCTCGGGTGCTTGCTATCTAGGGATGGACTTCCGTTGGGGCTATAACACCTCCCTTCTCTCTCTCTCTCATAGGGTCTCAAGTGTTTGTTTCTCTGTCTATGATACGTGCATTTGAAGACACATCTTTTCATCTCTCTCTCTCTCTCGCTCTTATCTTAGGTGGTTGTTATCTGTGTATGGGAAGTGAGCTTCGGTCGTAGCTATTCTTCTCTCTCCATCTCCCCCCTCCCTCTCTATCTATCATTCTCTCTGTGCATATTTGGTGTTTGTCATCTGCTTCAATATCTGAGCTACTGTCGCTGCAGCTATGACGCCTCCCTTCCCTTTCCATCTCTCTCTCTCTCTCTCTCTCTCTCTCTATCTATCTATCTATCTATCGGCTATTCGTAATTTATTTACCTACAAGATCTGCCCTTCAGCAGGAAGTACAACACCTTCTCTCTCTTGCTTTGGGTATCGGCTATCTACCGACAGGATGAGGGCTTGCCAGAGTTGACTTGCGTGAGTCTTCATACTGCCAAGTGCCGCTGACCAAGAAAACGGCTAGAAGAGAGTTTCTTTATGTGGGGCGACTCGACTCTTTGTAGGGCGTCCATCTTCCTATCCAGGGGAAGAAGGAAGCCCTAAGACGTCTCTTTGGGCATCCTCCGATTGGGCCTTCACAGTAGTTGCCGTACCTTCACCAGTGTCACCCATCCAAACGCATGCCATCTTTCTCTCTCCTCCTCCTCTTCCTCTCTCTCTCCGCGTCTCGATCTTGGCTGTTAGCGAAGCATGTACAGCGTCGGGAATGATATCATCGTCCTTCTTTACCTCTGTCAATATCTCATGCTCTTGGCTTCTAGTGAGCTATCGACAAGACGGGGGCTCGTCAAAGACGTTGACTTTGACAAGTGTCACATTGCTGTGGTGCCGCTGACTGTGCAGAACAGCCAGAAGAACATTTCCTCACGCAAGACAATCTCTCTCCCCCTCCCTCTCTGTCTCTCTCTCATCCTCACGCATGGACTAGAGAAGGGGAAGGGGGGACGGTTCTTCCGGCATGTCCGAAGGGGACAGCGGACTGGAACGCACGTATCTTCTCCACGAAGCCATGCAGGGCGCTTGGCGCGTAATTAACGCGAGACGCTTGGTCAACGCTCCCATCTTCCCCCTGCCCAATGATTTTCGAGCACGTATCCATGTGGTTTTCTCAATTGTCAACCAGCGGCTCCAGGGCTGACCCAGTGAAGCCTTTGTCTAATCCCATCCAAACAAGAGAGAGAAGGTTAATGGGTTGAGAGAGAAGGCCCATCGGGCTGAACAGATTTCGTCTCAGTTCCTGTTGACCACGAGCCAAGTGGGAGGATATTGCTTGTTTTCCGTGTCTTAACACCATGTTGTAATTGACCTTCAATAATTATTTTATTTTAATTTTAAATATAAATATGGAATCCAATACAATATGACGTCATAATCACAATAAGAAAGGTATTCAATTCAATAATTTCAGCGATTTTTTGGGAGGATAAATATTCTCTCAAATTTATTATTCTTTAGTTCGGGGAATGGTATAAATTAATTCTTTTATTTATCTCGATTTTTTATGTTTTTATGTACGTCTGACGGTTAGTAATAATTAATAATAAAAAGATTGGGGGACTCGCTAAGAAAAAGTCTCTTAATTTCCCCCCCTCCTCTCTCTCTCTCTCTCTCTCTCTCTCTGTGGGCGATCTTCAGCGGTCGCCGAGGGCGCGGCGGGGAGGAGATTGGGAACCTTCGTCTTCGAGCGTCACGAGGTTTGCCAATTGATCTTCTCTCTTAAGCTTTCGCATTCTGGTATTCTGTTCTCCTCGCCATCTAATCCCCGATCTGTGATGGCTGTTCATTTTCCTCGTGATCCATTTCTCCTGGGAATATGTTTCCGAGTAGGAAAAAAATTATCCCGTAGATGAAAGCTTGTCTCTGATCTCTTCACGGGAGGTTTGTGGGGGTGGCCGAATGGCTCCGCAACCTGAACGCGGTCGCGGGAGTGCGCCGGTCATGGTTGGCCTCCCGCGCACCCTCCCCACCGCGGATTTAGAGTTTGATCGTGGCAGCATGTTGCAGCTAATAGATCTTACCTTGATTGCAACGGCTGTGTGGAATCGTCTTGATCTATATTCTATTCATTCTGCTTGGGGGAACTAATCTGAAACGAGTATCTCTGGTATCTCGGATCTATCAGACCAGAATCTAATCCAAAATCCTGAATCCGTTCTATCATGATGGAATTTTTTTAAACAAATCCTCGAGAAACGACCTACTACGAAGTTTTTGTGTTGATCTAATGATAATAAAGTCATCGTCGTCAGCATTGCAGATGAACTTTCCTATTTTCGGTTCTTCAGGTTCCAGCATTCTTGTTGCCAATCTCACTGGTTTGATCAGGGAAATTAGGTTTGGCATGTCCCTGTGTACCACCGCGCTCACACAATTATTCATTTATAAAGTGTTCTTGATATTTCTTCATGCTGCTTGTTGATTCGCTGCAGATAAATTCCTCTACCAAGATTTTCATAATTGTGGGGTTTCTATGTTTTCCTGGAAACCTGCAACACAGATGTACTTCACAAGTCCCTGCAGGCTACATTAGATTTTTACCTTTGCCGAAACAAGAAAACCCTGAAAATTCTTTCTGTTATTCTTATAATTCTCTACCTCTACCTAGTTTTCTTTATCTGATATTATTTTTTTTTTAGTGCTACACCTCGGTTTATTCATCTGAATCGGCATTCCTTACTGAGGAGATCCATCAAGGTCAAAGCTTCGAGGTGTGAATTCAGTGGAGGATGCCCCCTCTAAAGATCGAGACTGGTCACCCGGATGTGATCCATGATGTGGCCATGGATTTCTATGGGAAGCGTCTGGCCACTTCATCGTCCGATAGAACCATCAAGATCATCGGCGTGAGCGGCAGCTCCCACCAGCAGCTGGCCACCTTGAGCGGCCACGAGGGCCCCATCTGGCAGGTCGCGTGGGCCCACCCCAAGTTCGGGTCCCTCCTCGCCTCCTGCAGCTACGATGGTCGAGTGATCCTGTGGAAGGAAGGGAGCAGCCCGAGTGAGTGGGCCGAGGCCCATGTCTTCACTGAGCACAAGGCATCAGTGAATTCAATTGCATGGGCTCCAAACGAGCTTGGCCTCATGCTGGCCTGTGGGTCCTCTGATGGGAGCATCTCGGTCTTCTCGGCAAGATCGGACGGTGGCTGGGACACCATGAGGATCGAGCAGGCCCACCCAATTGGAGTCACCTCGGTTTCATGGGCACCCTCCACGGCACCTGGTTCGCTTGTTGGCTCTGGGATGTTGGACCCAGTTCAGAAGCTGGCATCTGGAGGCTGCGACAACACGGTGAAGGTGTGGAAGCTCTATAATGGGAGCTGGAAAATGGACTGCTTCCCCGCTCTGCAGATGCACTCAAACTGGGTCCGGGATGTGGCGTGGGCCCCGAACCTGGGCCTCCCCAAGTCAACCATCGCCAGTGCCTCAGAGGATGGGACGGTGGTCATCTGGACGGTGGCAAAGGAGGGCGATCACTGGGAGGGCAGGATCTTGAACGACTTCAGGACCCCTGTTTGGAAGGTCTCCTGGTCCCTGACTGGAAACCTTCTGGCCGTCGTTGATGGTAACAACAACATCACGTTGTGGAGAGAAGTTGCGGATGGAGAGTGGCAGCAAGTGACGGCCGTTGAACCATAGATCATCAGGTTCTTCTTGTTCTTGTTCTTCACATTCCTCTCTCTCTCTCTCTCTCTCTCTCTCTCTCTCTCTCTCTCTCTCTCTATTTTTTTTTTTTGTTTTTTGTTGCAAATCAGGTTGTCTGATCTTGGATGTGGACCATAAGCTTACGAACTCAACTTTGGTCTCATGAATCTGTTATTTCATTTGGATCTTCAAAACAAGTTGGAATCCATTTTTTTTTAAAAAGTTATGTTATTTAGTTCTTTTAGAGAAATGTGGAATCTCGTTCTTGTTTCATTCATAGTGTTATCATACATGCGGGCCATAAGTCTATGAACTCGATCATAATCTCAGAACTTCCCATCTCTGGTTCTGTGAAGCTATTATTTTTTCTTATCTCTTAAAAAAAAACAATTAGCTGTATTTTTGGTTTTATTTTATTTTAATTTAAATATGGAATTCATTTTTTCTTAATTAATCTCTTTCAGAATAATGAAGGGTTCAGTGAGCAGTAGCAGTTGACTTTTTCTAGGATCATGAATTATTTGATTTGGGTCTTCCGTGAAACTGTAGTATTTTTATGGCATTAATTATTAATCTTACCTTGTCCTTTTAATATCTCTCTAGAATCTCGTTTGTTTTTGTTCAATATCGCTCTCATTTTCTCATATTCTGATTTCAGAGATTATTTTTATTTTTATCATTCGTATTATTTTTATGGCACTTTTAATCTCTTCTCTTCTTACTCGGTCTTTAGTGTTTAAGATGCTTACCGTTTTGGGGCCACGGTTGACCGTTAATTGGGTTTCAATGGGCTGGGTAGGCCCAGAGCCCGTCCTGGCCCGATTTGACGGGCTTGGGCCATAATCAGGCCCGAAAAATGTGGGCTTTAAGGGTTGATTCTCAGCTGATCAGATCCCTTCGATTGGAGAGAGAGAGAGAGAGAGAGAGAGAGAGAGAGAGAGAGAGAGAGAGAGAGGGCTCCAGATGATATGGCCCGGACCCAATGCTATGTATGGGCTTGATGTTGAGGCCCAAATATTTTTTAAAAGTGCACATCTTCGGGCTGACCGGGTAACTGGAGGACTCTCTCTCTCTGTCTGGCTGGGTATCGGGCTGGGGCCTGTCTAAGGTAGCCCGGGCTGTCCCGCGATCAGAATGGTGGACAATTGAGAGTGAAATGCTCTTGGGCTTTTCGGATATAGATTACGTCTCGGCCCATCACGAGTATTGCACGGCCCATTATTAATGTAGGCAGGCTTATTGTTCATGTCGACCAGCCCATCATGTCGAAAGGAGAGAGTCCTTAATGGGCCGGGAACTGCCGTGGGCCCCACATCCTCTCTCTCGCTAACTACCAACCTCCCGCTCATCCTGTCGTCACTTTTGACACCTCTATAACATCCTTGTCTGAAAATCAAAACCTTCTCTCTCTCGACCCTCTCCCGCTCTCTGAGCTCCCTTCTCTCTCAACACTCCGTCTCTCTCTTAAACATCCGCCCTCTATCTTTAAAACTCTCTCTCTCTCTCTCTCTCTATCGCTAAAAACCTGTCATCATCTTCCGTCAACTGTCGTCACTTGTTCAGTACGGGCTCGGACTGTCTTCCTATGTTTTCTCTGCATCCTTCTTTCCGTTCCCCGTCGTCTCTGTGAAGCCTCTCGCTCCATTTCCCTTACTCTGCTCCTCTCTCTCTCTCTATCCCTCTGTCCGCGTTATCCGGCAGGAGCAGAAGAAGGGATGGACTCGCCGGACACGAACGCGGCGGCGGACGACGAGTGCTCCGCCATCACCGCCGTCGCCGCTGTCGGCAACGACGCGGCTCTCGATCCCTCTATCGCGGCCTCGCTGTCGAAGAAACCAAAGCGCTTCGAGATCAAGAAGTGGAACGCCGTAACGCTCTGGGCTTGGGGTGCGTAAATCACCTCTCCAGACTTTCGGAGTCGTCCTCATGTTTCCTCGTCCTCTTCTCCCTCCCTGACAATTCTGGTGCCATTGGTCTCTCTCTTCGATGCAGATATCGTGGTGGACAACTGCGCGATCTGCCGGAACCACATCATGGATCTCTGTAAAGCCTCCCCCAATTTTTCTGCTCCCCCCTTCTCCGATCTGCCTTGATTGGGGGTTAGGGTTGGCGTCCATGAGCTTCTCCGCTGGCTTTTTCTGCTTATTGGTTGTAAATTGCGCGCAGGTATCGAGTGCCAGGCCAACCAGGCAAGCAACACCTGCGAGGAATGCACTGTCGCTTGGGGTACGCTCTCTCTCTCTCTCTCTCTGTAATGCTAGCTTTACATCTCGATCTATGCTGCTGTTTGAGTCGATTTGGCTTCTGATTCTTGGACCTCATCGCCTTGCTCTGTGGATTTATTTTCATCCGCCTGGAATTAAGATAGAAGATGTAACCAGATTGTAAAAATATCAGGATTGGACCCAATCTAACCCTCTGATTGTTCAGAAGTGGATATAAAATCATGTGAAAATATTGGAGCCCACCCACCCTTGCCATCATTGAAGCCTGCTAGAACTTGGATGATCATGATTGTCAAAGTCAAAACCACGCTGCCGAGTGAACCTCCTGTGTGATCATCATATTCAGTACATTAATTGATCATTTGGTCTATGATCTGTGTTGCAAGCAACAGTGAGATCCCCAGAGTCTCATCAATCGGGGCCAGAAACTATGCATTCCTGATTTGTGGAATCATTCACTCATGGCTTTTGGAAATCATGGGGGCGGGGGAGGTTGCATACTGAAAGGGGACTGAAATTAGGAAATGAGTTGACGATCTCACAGTCAGTCGTCTTTCTGTGGGCAATCTGATGGTGAAAGCGTTGGAAAGCAATTTAGATTCCCCTTGTCGTAATTCGACCTTACTAGAACTTGGACCATCAGGATTCTAAAAGTCAAAGCTACATGTATTGAGGGTTGAAATCAGGAAATGAGTTGACCATCTCGCTGCTAGTCGTCTCTCTTTGGGCAATCCGAGGGTGAAAGCGTTGTTAGAACTTGGATCATCAGGATTCTAAAAGTCAAAGCTACATGTATTGAGTGTTGAAATTAGGAAATGAGTTGACCATCTCGCTGCTGCTCGTCTTTCTGTGGGCTATCTGAGGACGAAAGCGTTGTTAGAACTTGGATCATCAGGGTTCTAAAAGTCAAAGCTACATGTGTTGGGTGTTGAAATTAGGAAATGAGTGACCATCTCGCTGCCAGTTGTCTTTCTGTGGGCAATCCGAGAGTGAAAGCGTTGGAAAGCCATTTACATTCCCTTTGTCATGACTCGACCTTGTTAAAACTTGGACCATCAGGTTCCCAAAAGTCAAAGCTATATCAATCGAACCTTCTACACGATTGGATTTAAACACTGAAGGAGCAATTGACCTATGATCCAATCTACAACATCTAGATCCATCCCCCCAGAGCAATCTGACGGCGGGGGGGGGGGGGGAGGGATTGAAACTGGCAACTGCGTTGACCATCTCACTGCCGGCCCTTCTGTGGGCAATTTCCCTTCACTTACCCATCTCAGTTCTTCTTCTCTTCTTCCAGAGGATGCGAACCCGTTTCAATAAAAGATGTACGTGGTTTGCTGAAGATTTACAAGATGGAAATCCATTTCTTCCGGCAATCGTCTGTTTGTGTTTCCATTTCTGGAAACATAAACAGACGATTCATCGTCGGATATCTCTGCTTAAACGATCACTGAGATGAACCTGGGATTCCCTCTGCCTGACAGGGGTTTGCAACCACGCGTTCCACTTCCACTGCATCAGCAGATGGCTCAAGACCCGGCAAGTTTGCCCACTCGGTAAGTCTCGCCCTGCCACTTGTAATCATATTACCCTCCATGACAAACTCCTCTTCCTCCTCCAATGTGTTCTTCGCCTCTGCAGATAACAGCGAGTGGGAGTTCCAGAAGTACGGCCACTAGAGGCGGCAGCGGTGGTGGCGAGCTTCATCCTGTTCGTTCTCCAGCTGACCGGCTGACTGACTGGCTTTGGAGCTCGCCGAAATTAGTGGGAAGTAATTATTTTTTTGAAATTTTTTATGATCAGAAATTCTTGGTGTTGTCCATGTGATGTGGGCAGCTGCATCAAGCAACTGGACAGTTTTTATTTTTTGAAGAAAAAAAATAAAAAATGAAAAAAAAGAGTAATGAAGGATATCTTTCAATTACCCTGTTAAAAAACACAGAAGAGGTTGGTTCTTTACAGCGGAGAGCAGTGAATTGGATGGAAATCATGTACAAAAGAATTGCTTTCTTTCTTTCTTTTTTTGGCCGCCCACTGGAGAGAGAGTTCAGAAGCTATGAATGCGGCCTTCCCGGCGGCGGGGGGGCTCCCTGAGGGAGAAGTCCTCCCCCTCCAAGGGGGGCGGCGCCGCCGCTGCCGCCGCCGGCGGGCTGTCTCCGCTCAGGCCGCCCAGCGGCGGCGGGTCAATGTCGAAGGGAAGGTTAAATTCTTCCTCGTGGGTGCTGTCCGAGAAGAGCCTGGTCCTAGACAGCCCGGCGGAGCCTCTCAGCTGTGCGGCGCCCATGTCGCCGCCGCCAGCCACCGTGGGCCCCTCATCGCCGGCGTCCCAGGTGAATGATCGGCGGGCGGCAGGGTTCTGGAAGAGGGACCTCGAGGGCTCCTTGAAGCTCGCCTGGACGGAGCCCCCCTCGGTGGCCCTCGCCCACCAGGGGGCACCGCCACCGCCGCCGCCGCCGCTGCTGTCCCAGTGCTGAAAGAACAAGCTGGTGCCGGAGCCAGAGCTGTGGATGTGCGATCGCTGCCGGCCCTCCTCCTCCAATGTGGGTAGCTCCTCCGGCGGCCAGAATCTCTCCGGCGGCAGATCCTCCTCTGGCGCCGCCGCGGGGCCGGCGGCGCCGCCCTGCTCAGCCCGAGCGACGTAGTACCAGTTGAGCACGCAGGGAAGGGCCCTGTGATCTTCCGCAGCACAGTTTCTTCTCCTGTGGAGGAGGAGATGGTGAAGATCCCTCGGAGCCCTCGGGAACTGGGCCCTCGAGCTAAGGGAAGAAGAAGGCTGCTGCTGCTGCTGCTGCTGCTGCCGCCGGTGGAGAAATGGCGAGGAGTACAACCAGGGGATCTCGTCGGAGGAGGAGGGCAAGAGCAGCTGTTCTTCGCTGAAGGTCCTGAGAGTGGCCAGGAGCTGCAGGCCCTGCGCATCCGGTTCCCACTCAGGATACTCGTTCTGGAAGCTGCGTGTGGGAGGGAAGTGGGGAAATAGATTAATAAACGATGTTCAATCAGACCTAAAAAAGGAAATATTAATGATAATAAAAGCGCAAACGATGATGACTGGTGGGATTTACTTGATTCCCTCGTCTGATTCTCAATGATGATGATGATGATAATAATAAGAAAAAATGAGAGGATTTTACGTGGGGGGAAGAAAATGAGGATCCCAAGTCAGGAAGGCACTGTGAGGGCAGATAAGCACCAACTCGAAAGATCAGAGCAAGAATTCTTGACGACAATAAAAGCACCGGGCATGTAATAATAATAATAATAATAAGCTTTTGAGCGACTAGAACAAGCGATACAAGGATCACCATCGACTTAAATATGGAAATTCCAACAACTGTGATGCTTCCCTTTAAGAGATCGAGAGAGAGAGAGGGAGGGAGGGAGGGGGGGAGAGAGAGAGGGAGAGAGAGAGAGAGAGAGAGGGAGAAGAGAGAGAGAGGGAGAGAGGGAGAAGAGAGAGAGGGAGGGAGAGAGAAGAGAGAGAGAGGGAGAGAGAGAAGAGAGAGAGAGAGAGAGAGCTGAATTCAGGGTTAAATTAGGAAACAAATGAGAGAAGATGAGCCAATAGGTCAAAACAGGTTGAAGGAGGGAGGGAGACTTGCTGAGAAGTACCTCAAGAACGATTTCTCCAGCTTCCCTTGGGAACTCCTCTGCTCACGCGGAGCACTGAATGGAGAACCATATTTGCTGTTTCCGTGACGTTGGAAGTCAAACGTACTAAAACTATAATTAAATACCAAGAGAGAGAGTGGTCAGAGACTGGGCACATGAATTGAGATGCCACAGCTTCACTTCGGAAGACAAACATACAAATCAACCTGCAAACATGGCCAACTCCTTCGACATGAACGGTGAAGTCTGAGATGAACCGCAGGATGTCATCGACCCTCTGTGGAAATCATGACAGGAAAGTCAACTCTCAGTGACACTTTCTCCACCTAGACCCAGAAAGTCAACCAATAAAAGCCTCTCAGCATGCATACCTTTGGTGCAGCGAATACTAGCAGGAATGGAGTGAGGAAGATTGAGACCATCTCTTCCAGCAGCATCATCCCAGTGTACTGGATTTATAGTGAGACACATTCATCATAAAGATCAGTGTCAACAACGAATGTGTGTAGCGTGAAACGGAGCAAAAATTATGAGTTTCCACGGATCCTATCTCCTCTCTAAACCTGGATCCAGTTGACTTACGCTCACATTGGATTTCGGGCACTCCTCGATGGGTATCACAAATATCGCTAATTTTTATGATACTAAATCGGGAGGGAAAGGATTGGGAATTATGCAAAAGGAGAAGAGATAAATCCCACATGATACTTAAGGGTATGCAAGTCCACGGGGAGAGTTCGTTGACAATGATTATAAATGATGAGTTGGAAAAAAAAAAGGATGGGCAAAGATGGCATAAAAAAGTCAAAGTCTGTCTCAGGCTAGTATGCACGGATTTCCTTTTTTATCTGCATTTTACTATCCAACGGATTGTGGTTTCTGATCGGCATACTGTGAAGAAAACAGCTCTCTTTTCCTATCAAACACAACTATAAGATTGGGTATGGTCTGAAAATATTGCCAATGGGAACATATACTTATGAGAGGCAAAAAACCAAGAGCTGTGATCTCAACTTCGAGGGATGATTCGTCTCATTTTTCACGGGCTATCAAAGAATGAAGATATCTCAAACCAGATGCAATAGTTCTTCTGAAAACCCTGGATGCAAGGAATCTCTTTAACACACTTTTTTCCTACTCTCTGCCAAGAACAGCAGGAACGAGCCTATTGGCGTGAAATCTTGTCATCTTGCAATCAAGGTATGAGGAGGGGGGGAAAAAAACAAATCTTTTCTGCCCGTTTTTGCCTCCATTTCCATAATAATAGCCTTAATTGAAATACCTGGAATCAACCATTTATATACACGGTTGAATTTCTACCGGAGATTGCCACGACTTATAGTGCAGTAATTTATTGAACTGTAGGTCTTATCACATATGTGTAATACAACGATATATATATAAAGCTGGGCAAACTACCTTCTAACAGTGAATAAGTGAAGGTAATCAAGGGTGACAACCAAACGATCTCTTGCATGAATGGAGAAATCAACAAGATTATTTTGACTACTTAATGACTTTAGAGGATTTAGATAAATGAAAATTGATGCAATGGCTATAAAGGCACTTTCAGTAAGCCAGGAAGTCTACAAAATACTCTTACCTGAAATAAGGTTTCGAATTCCCTCCTGACTGAATAGGTATTCTCTTTACCACGCCATCTCTTCGGCATATAATGAGTATGTTGGACAACGAGAGACATTGCACCCTCTGGGTCAATAACGTGGGGCTCATCGGACACAGCAGCTCGACTGATCGCAGTCACAGTTCCAAATACAGCAGCATACCAGAACAAATTGCGGCCAAAGATCTGTATACATGGCGATCAAGATGAATTGTCAGTGCACGCAGTAAACATTGCAGGAAGTGAGTAATATAATGTGATTGAGTGCTTTACATGCCCCTCCAGCAGTGATTCTTCAAGAAAAGCAATTATGATCAGGACAGCAGCAAAGCCTCCAGAGACAAAGGAGATGAACTTGGCAACCAGAGAAATGATAGGAGAGGGGAACTGCTTTAGAAAACCAGATGCATGCTGTAAACTAGCATTGGTCCGGTATCTAAACAAATGATCCACCTGTAAGGAAGAATATAAAAAAGATGAGTGATATTCTATTACGTGGAAAAATATACCGCCATTTTCTCCAATCATTGAAAGATCACATCACTGAAATTAAGATCACTAACGGAGTCCAGAAGAAGAGAGAACAAAAGCATAGATTATTCTAGTGAACCTGTCACAGTAGTGATGAATGAATGAGGAACATGCAGAATAGTTTATGAAAACATACACGCAACTCAAAGCAAGAAAATATGGCAATTTTATCTAGGAATCCACAACCCACTTTGGCATAACGGTATTGCTACAAGCGAAGCATAGCTCTGTATCTATGCAGTTCGATGCAACCCGCATGATCGCTTTGGCTGGGGGCCCAACCCATGCATCTGTGAATTATAATGTCATAGGCTCTGGGCATCCCCACTCTCACCAATCTGCGGTCAACCATAGTGCAGCAGTCCAACCGTCAGTGCAGGCATTTGACTGCTTTTACCCTATCACCATTAAACAATCACCCTCGGGATAGGAATTTCAGTGGGAAGGTTTAATTTATCGTTTGGTGAAACTCTGAAAGAAACATACGAAGAGGTAGATTTCGGGTAGTTGATCCCAGACTTTAAGGTTAATCAATGAGGCATTCTCTGTTCCTGCTGCCTACATTCTTTTTGTTTGTTTCTTTTGGGTTATTGCAAACTCTTGCATTTTTTCGTATTTTGCACCAAGTCCACTTCATATTTTAGTGTATTCAACGATCTTTTTTCGTCTACATTCACTGTATCATCTCCAGGTATGCAATTTATCTAAAAGCAAGAAAACTTTTGTCGATACTTGCTTCATTTTTACTTTAAGCCTATACTCGAGTCCTGCAAAGAAGCTGAGTGCAATCAGGGTGATGCAATTAGTATTCTTGTCAAGTCCTAAAAGTATTTAATCTTTTCCAACCTAGATTGATTGAATAAGGCTCATGAATCATCCACAAAAGCTGGACCAATCTGTATCGCTCATCTTTCGATTTTTAAATTATAGCTAGACATCAAGAAGTTGTAGATTCCCTTTAAATTTCCACAGAAACCTGGTTGGCCTTTGGGTAGCATTTTGAAGCCCTCAGCATGAATTTTGTAGCTTCTTGTGCATCTCTTCTGGTTTCTAATAAATGTCTCCTGCACGCACGATCCTTCAAGGAACTCTGTAGGATGATATAGGCATGCCTGAAGTCTGAAAATGATGACTGATTTGATCAGCGGGCATGTAGTGGGCTCGTCATTCTTCCCTTTATTCCTTTAGGTTTCAAAAGGATTCTCTAAACCCTGGATGCATTTTCTTCCATTTTTTCTGTAAAGGAAGCGAATCTCTATTCATTGCTGAAACAAATAACAATTAGAAGCTAGTTACCAGTTAAGGGATAATTGAGTAAGGAATTCATCAACCAACAGTTTTGCTTACAACCCAAATGCATATATGGAAGAACCAGAAAAAACATAAACCGGGAGACAGCGGTCAATACCCTGAATTAATGCAGATCATTCTCTGAGATAGGCCCTTAGATCTCTTTTCTATTTCACTTCCTAAAATCATACAAAAAAAATTCTCCAGACTTCCCTGTGTACGTCATCCATATTTTTCACCCTTTGGGTTTTCTTTTCCTTGTATCAGTGCAAAGATAAAGTATAATTCTGTTACTAAACGGAAATAATATGATAGATTTGCCTTTTGACCAAAATTTAGCGAGATGCATAAAACTCTCCCTCATAAATGAAATCAGCACAGCATCTTTTCTTGGGAAGCACATTCATTGCCAAACAAAAAATAATCTCATATTCTTACATTCATAGTCAAACAATCTACAGGTAACGTTCGTATGTGAAACCAAAAAAGACAGTCTATTGTTAAGTAATTTGGAAATAAGGAATACCTCATTGAACTCCCTAAAAATCCACTTTGACAAGTTAGACCACCTTCGGGATGATGCAGTGCTTGGATGGTTATAGAACTGCTCAGCATGCCTTAAACAGAGATATACCAGTGAAAAAATAACAAGGAAAGGAGAAATGAGAAACATTAGAAGCCCAACTATCATAAGCCTCTTTCTCAATGATGAAGGGTTATCAATGAAGTCACGCCGGACACAAAAGTTTCTGCAAAATATGAAACCCAGTGTTAACAAAAAAGAAAAATATTAGCAACCATATGGCATCTATCAGAAATACTTATATGCTAAGGCTAGACTTTATTGCAATTTGACGATAGAAAAATAAATCATAAGGAAAACACGCCTGCAATGCTAAAGTCAATGAAATTACACAAACAATAAAATTCTCAGTAAAATCGCCGGTTGTTGTGACATTAGAATAGATCCATTTAGAAAGAAGTGATTGATTTTTTTTATCTAGTAGTTAACCAGAGATGACATGGTTTTAGACAGTTCACAGTGGGAACACTTTCCAAAGGAAAGAAACCTTGAAATTCAACCTTCTGGAAGCAGAGAAAGGAGAGAAAATATGCATGATAAGCAACTACAGACCAGTCGTAAATTTGGAAATGACATAAAGACAGTGGATCAATAAGCCAACCAATTTAGTACGGCTGACAGCAACGAGCAAGAGTTCTTCATTTGTGTTTTTGGAACCTATTCCTTAAGTAAGAGAATTATAATGCAGTACGATTGATAAAAAAGGTGGAGATAAGCAATCCATACTTACAGGGAACTTAATAGAAAAATAATTAAGCCGACCGTGGTCATGGACTTCTCATAAAGGAACAAAGAATCAAGAAGATGATGTGTCTATTGCAATGAATAAATATATTAAGCATGAAGTAGTGATGCTGTATCTATGACTATATCTCAATTTACATGATGTTGTATGGGTTTTGCATGAACATTGACATACTATACTCAAGCAAGATCAAAAATAAAGGAAAGATGCAACTTTAGGTGGCCAACGAAATCTAACTTAAGAGGCTCTACATGAGAAAGTTTGTTGGTTATGGGATGTTGGAGCTAAACAATTTGTGAATATCTCCCTCCCTACTGCCCTCACTTGATGCTCTTTCAGGGCGTTGTTGACATTGACTTCAATAAGCGAATTTAGAAGTAGGCCGTTCAGAGCTGCTCCCAGTTCAAAGGTGGAGGTGCCATGAAGTCCTATGTGGGCAGTACGAGCTGTAAGGCTCCCATAACACCCCCCACCCCCCCCTCCCCCACCCACCCACACACACACAGGGACAGAGGAGGTAATAAGGGCATGGACATACATTGGAGAGAGGATATATACATTCCTTGTATTTGTGAACAATGCAGCACAATCTATGAATGTCTATCTCATGGAATTTTGGTTTTGGACATGCGCTGGAGAGAAGATATTAGTGTTCCTCGCATTTGTAACTTGATAGTCGCTACAACTTGATAATAATGAACACTTAAAATCAAAAAATCAAATTATAAGTACCAGATACCAGAACTTGCACAAAAAAGGAAAGTAAATAACTGAAAAAAATCCTCAAAAGATCTGATAAAGTTGCCTTGTAGATTCAAAAGGCAAATAAATCTACAATTATAGATTCAAGTTCCCTAGTATGATTTGATAAAGACAGACTTGAATACCTGTCAAACATGCTCTGAAGTATGCACCAATTTAAAGTCCACTCAAGAGTTTTTGGCAGCATCAGATGGTTATTCTTTCCACCAGATCCAGACTTGACTTCAGGACCAGCCCCAGGAATCCACCAAGGCACTTGGAAAGAGAGAACACCTTTATTGATCATCCCAATTAAGTAGTTCTCTTTGCGCATTATTCGCATCACAATCTCATGTGCAGACAGATCTTTTACAACGCAGAGCTTCTGAGATTTTTGTACTTGAACAACCTTATCTAAAACTGCAGACCAGGATATGGTCTGGACTTCACGATCAGTAATACAAAGGCTACAAAAAAAGACATACTTTTAGATCATGTGCAATTTGTCCTTAAAACCTAGCCATGTATCCATTGGTATTCTCAATCCTTACCTATTAGTGTAGAATTTACGAGCTTCCAATGTGTCTTTCAACTGTACAAAGAATCTCACGAAGCAGAATAAAAGATAGAAAGCTAACAATGCCAAGTAGCCAACAATGATCCCTTTCGTGACTGTAAAGGGAGCTAAGGGATGAGTATGAAGAGCCTCCTTTGCCAGGTCACAGGGCTTAATTCCTGACTCAACAGCATCCATCCCGCACTTAGCATTGCGAAGCCCATGCCAATCAACAAAGAGTAGGAAGAAACCAGAGAAACACAATGTAAACCCCAAACTCAAGAGCTCAACAACCCACTTGACAATAATGCACCAAAGTCCTTTCTCACAGTAATAATTGTACACCCTCCAAAAGAATAGATCTAAATCAGCAATTGGCTCAGATGTTAACCCTTCACCATTAAGGAGTCCAGATGGACTCTCACTACCAGAACCTGGTAGCCTTCGATAATCAGATAATTCTATTTCAGGAGAAGTGTCATCAATCAATCCAGTCGATAATGATGATTCGCCTTGCCGTTTCCATTTGAATACGTAGGAAGTAAATCCAGCCTTCTGACTACCAAACATCATTTGAAGAGAGGCAGACATCGGAATGCAGCCAGTCCATTTCACTCTCTGATCATCGCATACTGGGAAGATCACTGGAAAATGTACAAAGGAAAAGTAAAGTTTTAGAAATCTACAGGAGAAAATCTTCAAATTCAGGATGTTATGACCGGTGAAATTGGAAATAAAAAAGAAAATACCAAATATAATCCATCAGCAGATAACGGAAATATTCTCCTCAAAATGAAAATAATGTAAGTTCTATGAACTTGAGTCTCATAAAACTGAAACTGAGAGAAAACATCGTATCTTTCGAAACAAAAGTTATTCTTCAATGAACAAAATTATATCAAAGGAAAAAACCTCAAACTACAGCGGCTAAAACAAGAGAAGCCTCCAAAAAAAGTAAAAATAAAAATGTTCCAAGAAACTTACAAAAACTTGAAAGAAAGAATACTGGCAAGGAATACTTATTCTAGATGCTGATTTTTTTTTTCATGGAAAAGAAAATTTGTAGCTTCTTCCCAAAATCTCCCCATTAATGAGAAAGACATGAATTTACTGGAACACAATTCATTGCATTTCCCGCACAAAAGGGATGAGAGGGGAATGAATTGACAAAAGCACATCCACTATAGTCATGTGATAGTTGCTTTGGTGAATATTTATCTTCCTGCGTCATTTTTACCTCCAAATCATTTTCCCTCAGGACCACCCAATACACCCATCCCTCTCCCAAGAAAGCAATAACAATGAATAGAACGAATAACCGCTCAACCTATTCTCTCTTTCCACTTGTCCTTTCTCAATCAAAGACTAGCCAGAACTACATTCCACATGGAAGAAACTCCCAAACTGTTATGGACCAAGAACTGCCTTCCCTCTACTCTATGTGATGGGAGATTGGAAAAATAGAATGACAAACAAGGAACCCATGTACTAGCTTTCCACAAACCAGTGGTACATTCAATAAACAACCCCCCCTCTTTTCCACTCTCTATTTTTTACGAAATCTAGGTCCATGGACTAAAATTTGGAAAGGACACTACCATCTTCCGGCAATTCGTACACTTTCCATTTGATTCGCCATAGAATGCGAACAAGTGGTTGCGCAGGCAGATATAAAAAAAAGCTACATGGGCTGGCAAATTGTCCCCAGGTTAGGGGAGGAAGTGGTATTCACAAGACTAATCAATTATATTATGAGCACATCAACAGGCGACATCAGACTTGCAACAACTCAGAAACCACTGTCTGGTTATCACAAGACGAGCCCCATTCGTCTTAATCTAAAAAAAAACTAGAAGAATAATGGTGAAGGTAGAAACATTTCTTTCGCATTGGCTATCTTAACTACCCTTAATCGAAGGTATCCCAACCACCTGTTTTTCTATATGATACTCGCAGATGTAGAACGACAGCGGGTTAATTCATGCCAGACAACACCTACCTAACTTATAAATTTTCAAATTTGAATCGAGTTCTTCGTCCAAATATTTAAGCCTTATCATCTAAATCATCAGTTCAGATGTCTTATAATTCATACTACTTATTTTTACTGCATTAAAATGGGACCTGATTAATGGAGATAATCCTCCAAGCTGGTTGTTTCAACCGATGCCCTCCCCATTCTGGGATGCCTGCAAGCTGCCCAAGGCAAACTGCCTTCCTTTTGCGAGGGTATGAATAACTTCCCTATGAGATTAAAAATAAGAAAGAGAGCCTGAAATTTTCAAATACCACATTAGTTCCCTTTTCCTGATTTATGGTATCTCCCGTTCATAAATAGCGTACATCTACAACACTCAATTCAGAAAAGAGTTCCAATAATGAAAGCAACACAGCTGAACATAACCTTGTAAGATCAACACATGAGAATATTTTCCAACACATACGATTCTGAAGGGAACTCCGCCGCTTTCCCCACACCTCCCTAGGAAGCGACTTCTCACCTCTTTTAGACAAAGTGTGCCACATCCAACATGCTCTCCCTCATCTTCCATGCGCTACTCTTCCGCAGAGAGATCATACCACAAGTACCCAAACAGAAACTGGACGGGCAAGGAAGAATAGGATACCTCTACTCACGCCGATTCCCCTCCCTCAGGTAAAGCCGCCATGGGAGATTCGGCCGGCAGCTGGAAATCGCTGATAGCGGACCAGCAGGCGACAGCGCCGAGAAGACCCCGGCGGCTCAGGTTCCTCCGGCGACGAAGCGAAGGGGGAGAAGGAAGAGAGAGAGAGAGAGAGAGAGAGAGAGAGAGAGAGAGAGAGAAATTGGAATAATGAAATCAGGAAGAACAGTAGTAGAAGTCATTTCGTCTCGCCGCGCTGAAGCCTTGTAGCTCTCGAGGCTTTGAGTGTATTCGACACATATTCACAGAAAAAAGGTTTAAATAAAAATAATTACTTTATCAAAGGTCTTCAAACCAAAAAAGCATCCGCGTTCGCCCCCCTCAATTGCGTGCTATACGGCCTATGATACTTCCCCAAGGAAAATTTCCCATAGATCCTCAGGTAAGGAAAAGATTTCTTGTGGGACTCGTCATTCACAGCGCCAACGCCAGCAGAGTTTTGCGGGACACGTAAGTTCAGCGAGGATTTAAATTTTATAAAGAAAAGGGCTTAAAACACCTTAATTATATTAAATAAGGTTTAGATTATACAAATCCCTACTCGTATTTATAACGAGAGGAGGAAGGCGTGTTCCGTGTAAAGCGAGTTACATCCGGTCGGTGCTTGTCCCTTGGCAAGCGAATCGCATTGCGTGGAACTCGGTAAATATTATGAGTCTCAAATATTATGTGAAACATGAGCTAGAGATGAGAATCAGTGCCCACCTTCACGATACATACGGTTGTGAGGTTTTTTTTTCCTCATCGACGGCGTGGCGGGTCGTGGGGGCTCATACGCCATGTGACACGCTGGCATTTCTCTCTGACACGTACGAATGGCGTACCTGAATCACGTTTCTCACCCTTTGTGATGTAAAATTGTGAATGTACCTCAAAACACTCAGAAGGCATTATTTTTATTTAACATTTGTATCCTTTTGGGGCATATCCCCCATTTCCCGACGGATCCGTTAAGATCTCATTTTTCCGAGGACTTTTCGACAAATTACGGCCTTTGTAGCATTTAATCGAGCATTTTTATTGATTTAATTCGGCAATAAACAACATCCAATGGGACCTCAACCATTTATACCAAATAATTAATATTTTCCATACGAATACAAAATTAAGGTGTATTTTTTTGATGACGTCATTCGCACGAATATTTTACCCCATTAAATATTCGCTTCATTAAAAATAAAAAACCATACCTACGTATATTCTTATATATATTTATATATGAATGGAGAGGGAGAGAGCGACGGGGGAGGGGGGGGTACATTAATGCACCTCGAAATATCGTCTGTGGGTAGTTTCTAAAAAAAATGTATTTTTCTATCTAGAGAGAGAGAGAGAGAGAGAGAGAGAGAGAGAGATAGAGAGAGAGCAGCTTCTTGCGGGGTGCAACTTGAACGGGGACGCCGAAGAAGAACAGGAAAGGACGAGGGGAAGAAAAAATTCTCCCCCGAAGGAAGTCTCTCTCTCTCTCTCTCTCTCTAAACTATTTATGGCCCTACAAGGCCAAGATAATCTGTCCTCAATGATTGCGTTCACAGGACCCTTTTGCGAATAACACCCTTATGAAAAACTAAAATTGCATGCTGACCCCTGTCCAGCCCCGGCCCGGCCCACTACTAAGAGAGAGAGAGAGAGAGGGGATAAAGATAGGGTTCAGCTCTTCTGGGTCTGACGGCGTCACGAAGCGGAAACTTCTACCCCAAAACAGAAAGCGGGCCGGCCCGCTCTTGATTTTTAGCTTAATTTTAATGCCCAAGCTCAGAAAATAACGAACCGGGCGGGGCAAATTTTTTAATATTCTTGGATAAAGTTGTGAGGCCCAGACTTGGAAAAGCCCGGCCCAAACCAGGTTACCAGAGACAGACAGAGCCCTCCTCGTCACTGCCAGGCCACAAGACATTATCTTGACTACCAGCCCAAGAGAGTTCCAACCGAAGGTCAAAAAACCAGGCCCATTCATAATGGTCCAACAGACGCCACCCAAGAATCCCACAAAGAAAGAGAGAGAGAGAGAGAGATCCCAAGAAGGCCCAACCGCAGCCACCGCACAAAAGCACGAGTCAACTCTTCTGAGAGGGGTGAGCGCGTTTGAAGGCAGAGGCGGACGTCAACTCCAGAGGGTCCCCTCCTGGCTTGGGGAGAGGCGATCAGATCTTGACTGCATCGGCCCGAGGTCTCCACAGACCAAGCCGGTACTTGTGGGCGTAGCTGAGGATCAGCTTTCTCTGCATGGTTCGGAATTGTCAAGAATTATCTTGCTCGGGATGTAGGAAATAAAATGATAAATATTTGAGCATTCGATCAATAATTACTTTCTGATTCCCTCCAAAATCTAAACAACTGAAATAATTAGACATCTAATGTATTTAAATTCCTTTGAATAATCTTCTCTGAATGAAGCACTTGAAAAAAAATAAAAATTATAGATTTCCGATCCTGTTTAATAACACAAAATTTGATTCCCACATATATATAGATTAAGAAAAATAAGAGAAAATTGTCCCCTAAATTATTCCAAGAAAATCTCTCCATGTCAACCTTCTGCGCACATTTTCCAATCATCGTTGGGTTGCGCTGTGATGGGTGACTCATCACATAATACCCTATCTTGTATAGGATCAGGAACATGCAAATGGGGTAGTAAACTTGGAGAGAAGTCGGATATGATGCTGCAAATTTGAATGCCATTCTACACATATTTATCTTCAAGTGAGCATAAATGGAATCACTATCACTATCAGTACACAACGCATATCTCATCCAAATCGATTTCCAAAGTTCTTATTGGATGAGATTAAGATTCAGTGCTGCACTTGGAATCATTGACTGAATTACTGATGCCATGCTTAGTCGATCCACCGCTGGTCTCTATCGGTCATATAATCTGATGAACGAACGCTTGTGCTGTTTACATTTTCTGACAGATTAGAGAGAGAGAGGGAGAGAGAGAGAGAGAGAGAGAGAGAACTATGAAGACATTGGCAACACCATCAGACAATGGCAGCAAAAATGGGATGCCATGGAGCCCAATTCTTGCCAAATCCTCTCCGTTGGAAATATTTTTTTTCAATTCCTTTTTCTAATGAACTTTGAAAAATCAGAACAACTATGCAACACATCACATCCTGTGGAGATGACTTCCATGATGCTTTTATTCTGGGAGTTCAACATCTTGAAGTCTAGATGGCATCAATTCATCAGCCTGAGATAAGTGAAACCGCCAGTAGTTGTCCCAGAACATCAGATAAACATGATGATATATTTTCAGCCAGAGTTTTCTGGAAGATGGAATCCACCGAAAGTAGTAAGGATCTGTGTGAAACCACAAAGATTCAGGCTTCGATTGATCTCTGTCACCTCTACTTACTAGTTTGTGATGAAGACGAAACCAGCCAGTAGGCATTAACATATGAAATAAGAAAAAAACGACGACTCTGCAACCTGCTTTTCTCATAAGTTCTTCTGTGTGGAACAGGACAAGCCATGCTACTAATATATATATAAACGAAGAAACAAAGCATTTATCATCCTAGAGTGCAGAAAGAATCCGTGAAGAATGAGGAATACACGCTGTTGAATGCCGGATTTAACAAGGATATACGACACGAAAAAACCGGTTTAAGTAAATAAGAGATGGAGCAACGGTGTATAATAGATCACCAACATGTTTGCAGGGAATTCCAAGCTTCTTGAGCCGTAGAGTTCGGGTGACAAGGAGCTTCTGTAAGTCCCCGATCTCCGCGTCCAGTTTCGCTACATGGGCCTCCACCCCCTTCCCGACCCCGATGAGGAACTCCGGGATCCCCACCTTCACTGCAACCAGACGCATCAAATTTAACAGAGCGGGTGATCAAATCCTCAGCAATGGCAGCACAGATCAGAGATTAACAACACATCGATGAAAGTGTGTACCCAGGTAGGGGCTCCTGGTTGAGAAGAAATGGTGCCGCGACGCGCCCGCTCCGCACGCACGCGCGACGATCCGGCCCCAGAACGTCACCATCGACATAGCCTACCCCCTCCTATCCCCGGGCTCCCACTTCCACGATTGCCGCCGGCTGACTCTTCTCCTCCCTCGAGTTCCACTCCCTTTACAGAAACCCCAACGCAAAACCACTCTCTGTCTAATAGCCCATGTCGGCCCATCGGACGGTCAGGCGGAGCCCAAACCTCAGGGTTTTTGAACCGAAAATTAGAATATGTCAAATTAGAACCTCAAGTAGAATTAAATTAGAAACTTTCGGGGTTTTTGGGAAAAAATCGGCGTCGGGGGGGGGTGAACAGAATTCACACGGGCCAGATCAACAATGAAATTAAAATATGTAAAATGACTATAATGGAAATTACCAATTTTTTGGGGTTTATTGGGGTAAAAAGCAGCCACATAGGCTGACATAATTCACACGGGCGAAATCAATAATAAAATTAGAATACATCAATGACTATATTTACCAAAATTTGGGGGACATTTGGGGAAAAATTAATGTGACAGGAGTGAGTTTTGGCACCACCTTTGTCTAACCCTATATCAAGGAGATGGGTACCAATAAAAAGATATATTGGGTGACTCATAATAAACTAATATATTTATGGTTATTTTATAATATTCTAGGATAATAGAATTTTATAATGAAGTCAAAACTTTGCAGAGTGGCCCTACTATGTGTGGCTCAATATTGGTAACGACATGTGAGGAAAAGGCCCACTAATCCAATCCAACTTAGGACATACAACTTCATCACTCATTGTGGATTGACAAGTTAATACTATGATTTAATGATCATCATCAAGATGTAAAGAGTCAACATGGTATGATTCTCTAATGAAAAACTTAAGAGATTCTTCATCCTAGAGGAATGAAAATAGGAGAGTAAACTATAAATTTAGCTAAAGTTTAAGAAAATAATTCAAGCATCTAATAAAAAGATGAGAGAAGGGGGGTTCCTAGAGGAAATTTTGGAGTCACTATTGAGGTTAATTCAAGAAAGTGTCCAGCTCTTTTATCAATTCTCTCTTTTCTAGAACTGTTGAGTCACCCAATTGTTATGGGTCTATATATCTCTTATGACTTACTCTTTGGAAAATTTACTACTCACCTCTCTAGTAATGGGGTCCTTATGGTTGTAAATTAATTAGATAATGGGCTTGAGAATGGCTCCATTGTGGGGCTAAAAATACCTTACTACTTTGTCTTAAAGGTGAAAGTCTATGAATTATTGGTGAAGGGTTGATGTTGTTTTACATGTCATTTCGAACTTTGATAATCATTTTATTTAACTAAAACTGATATGACATGAATGTCTTGGTGAGTATTGAGGATTGACTTTGATTGTACTATCTATTGAAGTTCTTTGTAAAGATCTAGGGTGAGAGAGATTGTACAAGTCCTTGTCCAATGCTTTCTTCAATTGAAAGACGTGAAAGATGGAGTTAATTTTTTAAAAGTTCAAGGTGTCCAACCTATATATTATTAATTTATCAAGAATAAAGAATGGCCAAAAATAGTTAGGAGATAATTTTTTATTTTGTATTTGTGCCAAGGATCTATTCTTATATAGTTGGTGTCTAATCTATACTAGGTCTCCTTCAATAAACTCACCCTCCCATTGATACTAGTTGATTTAAGTTTACATCTTGACTTGAACATGAGTTAATTATTATTTTATCTCCTCTAATATGGCCTTGCTGTTGTAGTTGCTCTATCAATTAACTGACTAAAGCTGGTTGAATGTTTGATCAAGTGATTGGCAAAGAGGTAAATCACTTGGAAAAGAGTGGTATTAGTGGCTGAATAAAATGTAGCATTGTGCTAAAATCCATCCCAAGGTATCTATTCATTCCATTAATTGAGTTTATCATATGAGATGCAATGAAGATAAGTTTCAAGACATATGTTGCCTCTTATGAATACTACCCTTGACCACTAAAACCTTGTCTTCAAGATAGAAATTGAGGAATTATTAATAGATAATTGTGACCATCTCTCATGGTGTTTCAAAGACGAGAAGATCTTTCTTTTGAATGAAGACCTCTAGGCCTATTGGGGTGAGTCTTGTGTCTAGCACTACTTAGGGTTTGATGTTTCAATTAAGTGCTTCATCTAAAGCTATTATGAGGGGTTGATTGCAATTAGTGAATCTTAGAGCCTTGTGCAATCAAGAGACATGAATAGGGTAAAGAGAATAAGTATGGAGAAGGTCCAAATGATAAGTGAAAAGTCTATTTTTTTATGATCTTATAGGGGCCAAAGAAATGTAAGGATAACGTCTCATTATGCTTCTTTATGAGTGATTATATTCGATATAGTCCAAGATACAAATACATCATCTTATCTTCTTGAAATTTGATATCTAATAAGTTTTTATTATCATGAGTTAATAATTAATTAATAATATATTTTAAGCCTTAATTTATGATAAATAGACTTATATTTATTTTAAATTGAGAAAAATAGTTTTAACTTGATTAATGTGAAATTGTGGCTAATTATGTGATTTTATCTAAATTAATATAATTTTTATAAGTATATTTTGAGATGAAATAAAAATAATAAAAAATAAGAAATAGAAAAAGGGGTGGACTCACTAGCTAGCTAGGACCCACACAAGGGTTGGAAGCACAATTGAGGGACTCACTAGCCAGCTAAGCCCGCATGTAGGTTGGAGGCACAATCAAGGGGACTCACAAGTTGGGGGGCTTGAGTGGCTAAGGATTAGTTAGGGTATGTGTGGTCACTAGGGACCAGTGAACATAGGGCAAGGAGTGGTCATATGCATGTGTAGTTGTTGATATGAGAGAGGACTAGTAAGGGCACATGTATGTTGATATGAGAGAGGATCATAGAAAATAGTTGATGTGAGACTAAACCTACACCAATGCTTGTTTACAAGTTTTAATGTTTTGTAGAGTGTCAATCAATGATTAAGTAGTTGGAATCATTTGCCCATCGACAGAAATTTTGATAACATTATTCAAAAATCACGTGTCAACAAAGATTTTGAATACAAAAGTTATGAATTCTTTGAATAAATCATCTCCAATTAATTGATGAACACATCATTGTCGAGAATAAAATGATCTGTATAAAGATAGTCATTATCTCATCATAATGTACTAAGTATGATCCTTGAGACACACTTCACCTTCACCCAACTTATCTCTATTAAGTGACAATCATCAGAGATTCAAAAGCTTTCAAATTTTCACTTTTTTGGTTGATAGCCACCGAAGATGATTCATTGACTCATTTCATTAATTTCTAGACTTCGTAAAAGGATTAAGAGATAACCCATGTCATAAATGTCTAAAGAAAATTTTCAAGGTTGTGAACATCACATAATAATTCTTTTGAACACTCAAAATTTTAACACTCATCGTTGTGATGCTAAAAATTTAAATTTAATTTTTATTTAAATTAGTGAGATTTTTTATGATTTTAAGTTTCAAAACTATTATTTAGTCAATTATAATTCTTTAGACTTTTACATATCTTAATTTGATCAATTAAATTATTTCTAATCATTTAAGTAAAAATCATTGGGCGAAACTCTATTTCCACTCAAATTACATTCATTGTGGTGCTAATGTCATCTTGACATTCACACCTAAATTTTCTTTTTTGTAATTTTTTAAATATATTTTCTTTCATTATTTAGTCTCAAAATTATAAAAAAATTGTATGTTTGAAAAAAAACTCTCAATTTTTATCTAATATTATCTTATATATCTATGATCAATCTGAAAATTTTTCACTATTTTGTAAATATTCTATTAAATTATAATTGATTTATTTTTACTAAACTAATTTTAAAATATAAAAAATAGTATTATCTAGTTTAATAAATTTTAAATTTATATGATTTATTATAAAATGATTAATTCACATCAATATCCTAATAATATTGATTTACATGACATTTCATATAAATTTAAGTTTTTTAGATATGATATTTTAGCAACTATAAAATTTGCTCTCATTCACAAAACAATTTATCCACTAACTTAAAAGATATATGAGGTGACCCCTAACACATAATTTTGAGGATTGTGGCCATACAATGCTTTGAAAAATATTGTCCACTCTATGTCTTTGGGTTATGTGATGCAAAATAGTGGAGTTTTATTTTTAGTCCTCTATTGACAACTTTAATATATCCATGAAGTACTATGTTTCGTTTCTCGCAGTTTGAATAAGGTAAACCAAAAGACACATGAATGTTTTATCTCACGATAATATAATTGAAAAAGAGATATCATGAAGATGTACAATCTCTCAAGTAAATACTTCAATAACTCTATTGGATATTAATGTTTCAATGGTAATTATTGACTGTATTTACTCAATTTGTTCCCACAATAGATATTGAATTGTAATGTCTATATTTAGAAATTCTTTCTGCAAAATCTAACGAGATGTCTTGCCATATTTGTTTTAAAATAAAGAGGGGTTGTTGAAGACCTATTGGGACTAGAGAATATATCTTTATTTTTGTTAGCAAATAAATCATTCTATCACATCTTGTTAACTTTTTTGTTTCATCTCCACCTAATAAAATAGTGTGCATTATTTTTTTATGTTTTGAGATATTTAATATGTTCCCTTAATGAGGTTGTCATAAAGTAATTTAAGACTAGTTAGAATGAAATTAGTATGACATGAAGTTACCAAATGATTTTTGTAAAGTAAAAATTCTTAATTAATTGAATAGTGTGGTTAACAGACATCTCTTTGAAGATTTACTTATTAAATTTGATTGAGCTTGTAGTCTATTTTCATTTTTCTTAAAATGTGTCGAATATAGTGATAAGTCTTCATTATTATGAGTTAATAATTAATAAATAATATAGTTTTAACTTTAACTCATGAAAATAGACTTATATTTATATTAAATTATGAAAAATAGTTTTTAGTTGATTAATGTAATTTTTTGGTTAATTATGTGTTTTTATATAATTTTTATAATCCTATTTTTGAGATAATGAAGAAAAATTAAAAAATTAAAAAATTAA